TTTTTTGTCCCGCTGTGTACAGGGCAACAATGAAGACAGTCGTCGAGGTCACATGGGAGCTTATCGCCATGGTTAGGGTATAGCGCTGTACTGCACCTTTCACAAACTGGGTATAAATATTGCAATGTCTTAAGTAACCATTACATAATGTTTAACTCGCCGTGTGGAGGTATGCCCACAACAGTAATCTGACATTGGTCTTCCAGGAAGATCCCTGTGTGACCCAGCTTGTGAGAGGTGCGATTGAGCCTGTTGATCTCGTCAGTGTTTTTGGTGGTGCGCACTTGAATAGGATCCAGTGGGGCCAATGGAGAGAACCTCAAAGACTATGCGACCAGCTTCTGAGACTGCTTCATCTGTTACATATTTAGATCTATGCATAAAGAATCAGTGACAAACACTCTCCACAAGACTGTATGGCAAGAGGGATGACTACAACGTTCCAGTAGTCAACTTTCCCTTCATGTCGAGCAATATTCCAGCAGCTCCAGTCCTTGTTGACAACTTCTGAGGAACAGTCGATCATGATCTTTCTCCAATGATTTCAAACAGCCTTATATAAGCTTTGCTCAGAAGTGGTTTGATGAAGGTTACAACATGAAGATTTTCTAAAGGTTTTATGGCAGTCATGTGGAGGATATATCAAAATTTGACGCACCAGTGACGAAAGTCCGATGCAATACCCAATTTTGACTTGAACCATATGTTCCCTGTGTTTTCACGTGATCAAACGATTTGTCTGTGCATGTGTTTGTGACGGGTGCCACCGGTGGGGCAAGAAACGCTCACCTTTTCGCGAACACCTGGTATCATTACTATTTGATAGTGATTCATAAACACATGCTCATGGTGTAATCGGAATCGTACTCTGGTTTTAGTAGAGATTCCTTGTGGTTATGGAAAAGGTTGTGTGAGGCTTTTGTCACATCACAGGTTCGAGTTTATTGATAGTGTCACTTTTCAAACAAAACAGTTTCTCGTCCCGAATGTGAGTATTGTTTTACGCCTCTTTGAGCAACATTCCAGCAATACCAATGCGGGGGACACCAGAAATAGGATTAACACGTACTCATCAGAGGAATCGAACCGGGGTCTTCGGCGTGACGCACGAACGCTTTATCCACCAGGCTACTCCACCACACCATTTCTTGTCTAAGTCGTCGCTGCTTGACTAGCATATAAGTTTGTGCTCAGTGGGATGCATCTGATTATGTTTCAAGATCATGGGCTTTGATTTGGGCAGAAATTTCTTATTAATATGGAAAGGGTTTTGTCACTTAAATTCTTATTGAACTGTCCATTAACATAACTGCTGGGGTCTTATTCAATTGTGAGATTGATTTGTTTCGTACAATTGAAGGATATCTTGACTTTACCAAGATTCATACAAATAAGAATATAAAATATGAATTTTAGAGTTTAAAAAACTTTTTATGATTAAATATATTAATGCACGTAATGATTGAAACCAATTATGTTACCTTTTTGACCGCCTCCGTGGTCTAGTGGTAGAGTGTCCGCCTAAAGGGCGGAGGGTCCGGGGTTCGATCCCGTCATACTAAAAGAGGTAAAAAGATGTTACTTGTTTTCACCTCAAAGCTAAGACTATTCAGACAGTCTTAATCGGCAACATGCAATAAGAGTTGAGTCCCATTCACCCCGCCGAATCATTATTATCATATGTGTACGTCCTGTTTTCGTTAATACTTTTAAGGAGGAAAAACTAGGGTCAAGTAACACTGGTAGAATATCTGTGTCTGTTAAGGAGCAATGTATTGCGGATATCTATTTACTTATTACTTCCCTACTGTTTCAGTTTCACACGTGGCAAAATTACGGACGAAGTTTCGATCTGTTTGTCTGTGAAAACTGAAAGTTGAATTTCCTTGTCAACGTTAGAGTTTTGATTTCCGAGAATTCAGCTGAAATAATCTAATGAAGGACATTAAATGCGCCTCTACCTTGTATCAAATCGAACTAAAGTAAACTACGTTTATAACGAACACACTTATAACGAACTAGGGGATATAACGAACTGGATTTTTGGTCCCAGCCATTTGCTGTATATATGCTGTATATATGTTTAAAACGAATTACGGTTATAACGAACTAAAATAAGTGGCCCCATTGAGTTCATCATAACCGTAGTTTACTGTACTTGAAGTATATGCGAGGAGCTCGCATAACATTATTATCATATCTCAACTCTGTGTAGCTGATCAAGATGTTTATATAGATTTGAAAAGGCCACTTTAAGCATTAACACTAACACTGCTAAAATAGAATGTGTTGTTTATATTCATAATGTTTATTCGGATAGAAAAAGAAATTCAGAAACAAACTGTCAATGTCCTGAAAGGCGTCTCAGGCCACAGCTTGTAAGAAATGAAATCACGCGATCGCCTCTCTGTCATTTCATGGGTGCAGACGGGAATGCATACGAAGGCAGACTGGTGCTGACGGATATCAGTACCAGGATATAGCGGGTGGTGACGCATATTCATACTACGGTATAGACAAATGTTCATAGTGAGGCATGGCATGTGTTTGTGGATGTTCATACTAAAGCGTGTCGGGTGTTGATGGGTGTTCATAATAAAGTATGGCAGGTGCTGATGGATGTTCATAATAAAGTATGGCGGGTGCTGATGGATGTTCATAATCAAGTATGGCAGGTGCTGATGGATGTTCATACCAAAGTATAGCAGGTGCTGATTGATGTTCATACTAAAGCATGGCGGGTGTTGATGGGTGTTCATACTAAAGTATGGTGGGTGCTGATGGATTTTCATACTAAAGTATGGCGGGTCCCGATGGATGTTCATACTAAAGTATAGCAGGTACTGATGGATGTTCATACTAAAGCATGGCGGGTGTTGATGGGTGTTCATACTAAAGAAGTGTGGGTGCTGATGGATTTTCATACTAAAGTATGGCGGGTCCCGATGGATGTTCATACTAAAGTATAGCAGGTACTGATGGATGTTCGTACTGAAAATGGCGCGTGCCGATGGATGTTCATACTAAAGTATGGTAGGTGCTGATGGATGCTCATACTAAAGTATGGCAGGTACTGATGGATGTTCATACTAAAGTATGGCGGGTGTTGATGGATGTTCATACTAAAGCATGGCGGGTGCTGATGGGTGTTCATACCAAAGTATGGCAGGTGCCGATGGATGTTCATACGAAAGCATGTCGGGTGTTGATGGATGTTCATACCAAAGTATGGCAGGTGCCGATGGATGTTCATACTAAAGTATAGCAGGTACTGATGGATGTTCATACGAAAGCATGTCGGGTGTTGATGGATGTTCATACCAAAGTATGGCAGGTGCCGATGGATGTTCATACTAAAGTATAGCAGGTACTGATGGATGTTCATACGAAAGCATGTCGGGTGTTGATGGATGTTCATACCAAAGTATGGCAGGTGCCGATGGATGTTCATACTAAAGTATAGCAGGTACTGATGGATGTTCATACTAAAGTATAGCAGGTACTGATGGATGTTCATACGAAAGCATGTCGGGTGTTGATGGATGTTCATACCAAAGTATGGCAGGTGCCGATGGATGTTCATACTAAAGTATGGTGGGTGCCGATGGATGTTCATACTAAAGTATGGTGGGTGCTGATGGATGTTCATACTAAAGCATGGTAGGTGCCGATGGATGTTCATACTAAAGTATGGTGGGTGCTGATGGATGTTCATACTAAAGTATGGCGGGTGCTGATGGATGTTCATACTAAAGTATGGCGGGTGCTGATGAATGTTCATACTAAAGTATGGTGGGTGCTGATGGATGTTCATACCAAAGTATGGTGGGTTCCGATGGATGTTCATACTAAAGTATGGCGGATGCTGATGGATGTTCATACTAAAGTATGGCGGGTGCTGATGGATGTTCATACTAAAGTATGGTGGGTGCTGATGGTTGTTCATACTTAAGTATTGTGGGTGCTGATGGGTATTCATACTAAAGTATGGTAGGTGCCGATGGATGTTCATACTAAAGTATGGTAGGTGCCGATGGATGTTCATACTAAAGTATGGCGGGTGCTGATGGATGTTCATACTAAAGTATGGTGGGTGCTGATGGATGTTCATACTAAAGTATGGCGGGTGCTGATGGATGTTCATACTAAAGTATGGTGGGTGCCAATGGATGTTCATACTAAAGTATGGTGGGTGCTGATGGATGTTCATACTAAAGTATGGTAGGTGCTGATGGATGTTCATACTAAAGCATGGCGGGTGCCGATGGATGTTCATACTAAAGTATGGTAGGTGCCGATGGATGTTCATACTAAAGTATGGCGGGTGCTGATGGATGTTCATACTAAAGTATGGCGGGTGCTGATGGATGTTCATACTAAAGTATGGCGGGTGCTGATGGATGTTCATACTAAAGTATGGTGGGTGCCGATGGATGTTCATACTAAAGTATGGCGGGTGCTGATGGATGTTCATACTAAAGTATGGTGGGTGCTGATGGATGTTCATACTAAAGTATGGTAGGTGCCGATGGATGTTCATACTAAAGTATGGCGGTAGCTGATGGATGTTCATACTAAAGTATGGTGGGTGCCAAATGGATGTTCATACTAAAGCATGGCGGTTGCTGATGGATGTTCATACGAACGCATGGCGGGTGCTGATGTTCGTTCATACTAACGCATGGCGGGTGCTGATGTTCGTTCATACTAACGCATGGCGGGTGCTGATGTTCGTACATACTAACGCATGGCGGGTGCATACGGATATTGATACTAAAGCTTTGCAGGTACTCATGGATGTTCATACTTAAGCATGACGAGTGCAAAACGCAACTATTCAAAAGGTCAACCTGTGGATTGAATAAACACTATATTTTACATCCTAACATTATTTCTTGATAACAAGACAATAACATATGAAGAGTCCAAAGCTTCCTATAGTGTCTGACGCCTAGACACGATTCAGGAAGGAAAACTTCGAACGAAAAATTTCCCTCTTCTTTTTCCTTGTGACTGTCCAACGCATTATGAGGTCACATGACTTGACGACTGTTATAAATTCGAGTGCCCTGGAGTAGTGTATTACTTCCGCCACTATTGCCCTTGCTATCAACATGAAGGTCGTCCTCTTTGCCTGCCTCCTAATGGGTAAGTGTCTCCATTGAAATGTTCATGCTCTCTCTGTTTCATTGCACTTTTTGTCAATTGCCGGAGAACAGGGTATGTGACGTCTTATGCGACTGGTTATTTGATTAGAATTCAGCTGTTTAGACATGCTATAAACCTGTGATCGTGGGTTCGAATCCGAGAATCGCCATATTTTTTAGGGCTTTTGAGGGGGTTGTCAGTACCATACTCGCGCGAGGGGTTTCACCACGTCTGAGACCTGCATCACTTTCCTGCTTTCCTCTCACATTAAGCTGGCACGCCGAGTCATATTTCAAGTTTCTTTTTTTCAATTTTTATAATACTTTCTGCAGACTCACGCTGTACTATTTGTCTTATGTATCTATTATCACACGTGGGGCGGTCGGGTAGCCTAGTGGTTAAAGCGTTCGCTCGTCACGCCGAAGACCCGGGTTCGATTCCCGATATGGGTACAATGTGTGAAGCCCATTTCTTGTGTCCCCCGCCGTGATATTGCTGGAATATTGCTAAAAGCGGCGTAAAACCATACTCAGTCAGTCAGTCAGTATTATCACACGTTGTCTAACCCGACAGATGCAACACTCATTGTGGGCGTCTTCTCACATTGAGCTGACATTTGGTGATGCAACTGAAATACTATAAGTGGGAGAGTGAAAATACAGACCAGTACTTTATAGCAGTTGTATACACTGCATCATTTGATACCACAAATACAATATGGATGTTTGGGATTGTTGTTGCAGTTATTCTGTGCCAGACAATGGTAACGGCAAATAGTACTACAACCGCTGAGCCAACGTCAACAACCAGTGATGGTAAGTTAAAATATATATATAATTCTCGGGAATCACGTCATATAAATCCAATGCCAAATATCGTCACCGTCTGAGCACAAACGAGACTGACGTTGTACAAAGAGAAGGGCTCTTATGTGCCCAGATGTGTTAATGGGTATTCTTGGTGGGAAAAAATATTTTTTAAAGTATTCAATACTTCTTTTTCCATAAACATTTCTTTTAATAGTGCTCCTTTCCTTGCCTATGACAACAATGTGCCCGGGAAACATTTTATGCAGCCTTAGTTACAGGGTTAATGTTTACAGACGTAAATACAGGCATCCCTGCATTGCTTTTATCTCTGTAGGGTGTATGCACATAAATATAATGCGTGAAGCTTTTTTTATGTGTCCTGCGAGATTTAACTGGAATGTTGCTAAAAGTGGCGTAAAACTCATTAAATCGTATCAACTCAATAGCATCAACTCAGTTTGTTTCTTCATCTACAAATACACTTCTGTTAAGCATCCATCGCAAAAAGAATGACCAGTTCCCATTGTTATTTTGTCCTTAGTTGTAATGTAATGTATACGACCATGTTTTGATAACATTATTTCCTTGTGGGTATTATCTCGGGCTGTCAACTAAACTACTTCCGTCTATTCTTTAATGTCGTGTCACTGTGACATATAACACCATGTATTGTTGCTGTGTTGTAAAGACATGTGTCCTGAACCTTTTTCGTACCACGATGTGTTCAATGCTAGAATAGCCGAGTTGAATTCTACATGTAGACATAAATGCAGGTGATCTGTGAGACGCGTATCACATTTCTCATGTCTCAGCCCACACATTACTTTTGTAGTTGATAAATGCTACCGAGCTTATGATGAAACTTGGAGACTTCTGGCATTTGGTTTTGTTTGTTTGTTGTTTAACGACGATCTCAGAAATATTCCAGCTATATGACGGCGGTTTGTAACCAAGAGACTCCCAAACACTGCAGCCTTCCACATTACCCAGATTGTAAGAATTGCTGTATTCCAAGCAGAAAAGCCGGGCACTCTCCCAATGTTTTGTTTGGTTGTTGTTTAACGCCGCACTCAGCAATATTCAAGCTACATGACGGCGGTCTGTAAATAATCGAGTCTGGACCAGACAATCCAGTGTTTGACATCATGAGCATCGATCAACTCAATTGGCCAGACCACCCGATCCCGTTAGTCCCCTCTGACGACATGCATCGTCACCTTTTATGGCCAGCATGGGTTGCTGAAGACCTATTCTACCCCGGATCTTCACGGGTCGAGACTTCTGTCAACCAGCAGGAACACTGACCCTGTTTAATCAAGTACAAAACGTCAAGTCAAAAGAACAATCAGTCCATTAACCGACGAAACAAATTCCATTAAGGTGCTCGTATGTAACTGTATCATGTCTTCACTGATTTTCAGTGATCTAATCATAAAGTTGGGGATCATAAAATATTTCATTTTTTGATAAATCGAGGGATTATTACGTACCACTGTTCCTAAAACGTTAACTTATAATTGTTTTACCCTCCCCTTATCGTCCTTCAAGGTCATTTACGGTCATGACATTTAATGTCATACTTCAATGTGTTCCGAAAGCGTTCATTATTATCATACAACTACAAGTTATTTCGAAATATCCCCTATCGATTTTAAAGACTATAATTTTCATTACCCAATGGGATTCGTTTCGGCACATAATAGAGACTGATTATTCACTGGCGTTGACGTTTTATATTTCCGTGAACCAAGAAGTTGGTTTCAAAAGTTGCATTTTCCTACAGTGATTAATGGTAGCCATTGTGGACTGTTTCAGGAAGGGAGATAACTGTGTCACTGGTTCCCCTCATCGCCAGCTCCCTGCTGCTGCTCATCCAGTAACCTGTGCATGACGAACCAGGACGTCTGACCTCTTTCTGACTCTGACTGGCTCTGGTCTCTGACGTCTGTCAATGCCTGTGCCAGCTAAGGGGAGACATAGGTGCTTCTATGACGTGGGACAGCCGTGTGCTTAAAACACTGATAGTATCGTTGTCTTCATTCTTTCAAACAATTAAACATTTCTTTTGAAAGATGTTGACTTTGTTTTTATTTGGGCGATGGTAGTTTAGTTATATCAGGAGTGGATAAGTGAGTTAGAGAGACGGTGAGGGGCAGTAATGAGGTGGGGAGAGAAAGTGGTGAGGGAGGGAGAGACAGTGGTGAGGAAGGCAGAGACAATGATAAGGGAGGGAGAGACAGTGATGAGGGAGGGAGAGACGGTGATGAGGGAGGGAGAGACAGTGATGAGGAAGAGAGAGACAGTGATGAGGAAGAGAGAGACAGTGATGAGGGAGAGAGAGACAGTGATGATGGAGGGAGAGACAGTGATGAGGGAGGGAGAGACAGTGGTGAGGGAGGGGGAGACAGTGATGAGGAAGAGAGAGACAGTGATGAGGGAGGGAGAGACAGTGATGATGGAGGGAGAGACAGTGATGATGGAGGGAGAGACAGTGATGAGGAAGAGAGAGACAGTGATGAGGGAGGAGGAGACAGTGATGAGGGAGAGAGAGACAGTCATGATGGAGGGAGAGACAGTGATGAGGGAGGGAGAGACAGTGGTGAGGGAGGGGGAGACAGTGATGAGGAAGAGAGGGACAGTGATGAGGGAGGGAGAGACAGTGATGAGGGAGGGAGAGACAGTGGTGAGGGAGGGGGAGACAGTGATGATGAGGCAGAGACAGTGATGAGGGAGGGAGGGAGAGACAGTGATGAGGGAGGGAGAGACAGTGATGAGGGAGGGAGAGACAGTGATGAGGAGGCAGAGACAGTGGTGAGGGAGGGAGAGACAGTGGTGAGGGAGGGGAGACAGTGATGAGGGAGGGAGAGACAGTGGTGAGGGTTGGGGAGACAGTGGTGAGGGAGGGAGAGACAGTGGTGAGGGAGGGGGAGACAGTGATGAGGGAGGGAGAGACAGTGATGAGGAAGAGAGAGACAGTGATGAGGGAGGGAGAGACAGTGATGATGGAGGGAGAGACAGTGATGAGGAAGAGAGAGACAGTGATGAGGAAGAGAGAGACAGTGATGAGGGAGAGAGAGACAGTGATGATGGAGGGAGAGACAGTGATGAGGGAGGGAGAGACAGCGATGAGGAAGAGAGAGACAGTGATGAGGGAGAGAGAGACAGTGATGAGGGAGAGAGAGACAGTGGTGAGGGATGGAGAGACAGTGATGAGGAAGTGAGAGGCACTGATGAGGAGGGAGAGACAGTGATGAGGGAGGGAGAGACATTGATGAGGAAGAGAGGGACAGTGGTGAGTGAGGAGAGACAGTGATGAGGGAGGGACAGTGATGAGGAAGAGAGAGACAGTGGTGAGGGAGGGAGAGAGGGTTTAAATTAAACTATTTTGACGGTTTATTAGCTAGAGAAAAACAAAACCCTCGGTTTCGGTTGAAAGTGTAAACACCCGGGAGTCGGGAAATCCCCCTCCCTCCTTTTCAACCAAAACCTAAAAGGCGTAAATCTCCTATACACGGTAAGCTCATAAAATCGCTTGCCACAGTTTCAAGCAGGGTATTGAACTTTTCTACCCTGTCTGCTCTTTCAACCATCAGAGAGTGAGTGAATAGGCGTTTACGCGTCTATATCCCGTGTGCATATGTCGTAATATTATTCATCAAACATTATCGACTTTTTAGGTTGAAGGACTTCTTCCTGTCAGAGATCACACAGAACACGTCCTGATTGAACCCGGGCATTTCTGCACTTGTTTCCTGATCCAGAAGGAAGTGCATTAGGGGTGGTGATGGGGGTGAGGTGGGGGTGGAGGTGTGGGGGTGAGGTGAGTGTGGAGGGGTTGGCGTGAGGTGTGTTTTGAGGGGCGGGGGTGAGGGGTGTGTGGAGAGGTTGGGGTGAGGTGTGTATGGAGGGGTGTGTGTGGGTGTGTGAGAGTGAGGCTTGTGAAGGGGTGGGTGTGGGCTGTGTGTGGAGGTGTGGGGGTGAGGTGTGTGTGGAGATGTGTGTGTGGAGATGTGGGGGTGAGGTGTGTGTGGGTGTGTGTGTGGAGATGTGGGTGTGGGCTGTGTGTGGAGGTGTGGGGGTGAGGTGTGTTTGGAGGTGTGAGGGTGGAGGTGTGGGTGTGAGGTGTGTGTTGAGGTGTGTTTGGAGGTGTATGTGTGGAGGTGTGGGTGTGAGATGTGTATGGGTGTGTGTGTGTGAGGTGTGTGTTGAGGGAAGGGGGTGAGGTGTGTGTGGAGGTGTGGGGGTGAGGTGTGTGTGGAGGAGTAGGGGTGAGGTGTGTGTGTGGGGGGGGAGGTGTGTTTGGAGGTGTGGGGGGGGAGGTGTGGGTGTGAGGTGTGTGTGGAGGGGTGGGGGTGAGGTGTGTATGGAGGTGTGTGTGTGAGGTGTGTGTTGAGGGGTGGGGGTGAGGTGTGTGTGGAGGGGTTGGGGTGATGTGTGGGGGTGGAGGGGTGGGGGTGAGGTGTGTGTGGATGGGTGGGGGTGAGGTGTGTGTGGAGGGGTGGGTTTGAGGTGTGTGTGGAGGGGTGGGTGTGAGGTGTTTGTGGAGGGGTGTGTGTGGAGGTGTGGGGGTGAGGTGTGTGTGGAGAGGTTGGGGTGATGTGTGGGTGTGGAGGGGTGGGGGTGAGGTGTGTGTGGATGGGTGGGGGTGAGGGTGTGTGTGGAGGGGTGGGTGTGAGGTGTGTGTGGAGGGGTGGGTGTGAGGTGTGTGTGGAGGGGTGTGTGTGGAGGTGTGGGGGTGAGGTGTGTGTGGATGGGTGGGGGTGAGGTGTGTGTGGAGGGGTGGGTTTGAGGTGTGTGTGGAGGGGTGGGGGTGAGGTGTGTGTGGAGGGGTGGGGGTGAGGGGTGTGTGGAGGGGTGGGTGAGAGGTGAGGTGTGTGGGGGGGGGGTGAGAGGTGAGGTGTGTATTGGGGTGTTGGGTGAGGTGTGTGTGGAGGTGTGTGTGTGAGGTGTGTGTGGAGGGGTGGGTGAGAGGTGAGGTGTGTGTGGAGGTGTGGGTGAGAGGTGAGGTGTGTATTAGGGTTTTGGGTGAGGTGTGTGTGGAGGGGTGGGGGTGAGGTGTGTGTGGAGGGGTGGATGTGGAGGGGTGGGTGTGAGGTGTGTGTGGAGGGTAGGGTGTGGAGGAGTGGGGGTCTGTTGTGTGTGGAGGAGTGGGAGTCTGGTGTGTGTGGGGGTGGTGGTTGGGAAGGAAGGGTGGGGTGGGGTGGTGAATGGTTACGTTAAATATATCTCCGGTATGTGTGCGTATCCTGGAAATATTGTAGTAAATAGGTTTATTGTCAATACTTAGTTACTTAGTTTCAGGAGTATTGGGTCCAACATCTATTCCCAATAATAATAATAATAATAATAATAATAATAATAATAATAATAATAATGCAGAAGGGTAATGCAGAAGGTTGCAGTGTTTGGGAGTTTTTACATTCTCCAATAAAGATCAGGGTGGGCTGGACTAGGCAGCGTTTCCTAGAAGCCCTCTTTGCTGCAGTTTATATTTTTATCTTTATATAATATTAATATTAATATAAATATTAACACCCTGTCTAACAATGAGATATTAGCGTATATCAGTACCGAAAAACAAAACTAATCAAAAACAATTAACAAACATTACATCGATCGGACTTGTTGCATATCTCGATCGTCCTTGTCACGTGTCCTCGTCAAGATTAAATATCAGATACGATGTGTATGATCTGGGTGGAGGCCGTTATCTTCCTTCTATATAATAATCAATATTTAACAATATCAGGCCATTACCAAATCTTTCCTCATACATTGATTGCACTTCATTCGTAGAGAGTGTATGGGTATCCGGGTTTTTTGTTTGATTGTTTAATAATAAATTAATAACTCGGACATACGGCGTGTTCGCTTAATATACAGTACTGCGTATTATCGTACCTGTTTGACATGGAGCGATTCTCTCTCTCTCTCTCTCTCTCTCTCTCTCTCTCTCTATCTCTCTCTCTCTCTCTCTCTATCTATCTCTCTCTCTCTCTCTCATGTATCAGTACCGACGTTTCAAGGAAAAAGTGAGGTGTGTGTAATGTGCTGGTATTCAAAGACCAGTTGGTATGAAAGACGATAATTCCCTGACATACATACTAACTAATTCACCCTATACATTTTAATGGCATCATAGACCCCACAGTTGGACACAGAGATAAACAGTATACATGTATATCTGAAACAAACATCAATCAACCTCATAACAGAGAGCGGTGTTCCACAACGTCATATTCAAAATCACATCTCACATTTCACATCTTTGAAATACGTTTATATCCAGCTTCGTGTTTGATATCAAACTCTCAGAAACGTTTCACTGGGCATGACACACACATTTCAAATGTGGATAATTATTGTTTGATATTTATAGCAGACCTACCAGCTTCGGATTTAAGGACCCATAATAGAATAATTGTGGAAGCAATACCCAAGAACAATTATACCATTTAGCTTGTGTGATTGATTAATCGATTCGTTAACAGCTTTTTACAGCGTAGCCAAACAATCTCTCTCAGACAAATACATGTTGTCGTGTTTGATCACGCTGAAATGTATAAATTTGCTCTACTCATCTATGTCCCTTGTGAACCTCATATGGAACTAAACGCACGTTAATGATATCCCATGTTAACAGATGCGTCTTCATGAAGACTATTACTTCACAAACTGGTGTCACAGAACCGGGGACATAATCATATGAAGGTCTGGCTTACAAAGAGAACAGAACATAGATATATTATCCAATCTGTCGAAGATGCTAAAGTTTTCCAAAGATACCGTTGGCACATCCAGTGATGCAGATGATGTACCGAAAACACTGACAGATATTCAGAGACTGATAGCATTTTCGGGGTTATCATGGGACTATCAGCAGCCGGAGCCAGCAAAAAGGTGCAACGTCTTGTTGGTAGCCTCCCGGATATATTCAAGTTTGGTGTGCGTATCTATTATTCTATCTGTTATCCAGATAATACCATTATATTCGAAAGCGGAATCTTTCCTAGAGACAAGTCTTCCCTTAGTAAATAACATTTTAACTCTGTTGTGTCTAACTTTTTGG